GTAATTTCGTATATGTTAATGAAAAGTCTAACGTTCTTTAGCTTAAGCGCCGCTCGCGCTTCACAAGTCTACACAAAGACTGTAAACAGTGGTTTCTTTAGTGCGCTGCTCGCGCTTTACAAGGCTGCACAAAGACCGTAAACGGTGGTTAATTTCATTTTAATACACATCTTAATGCTCAGTTTTACAATCACACGTTTCTTAAATCATTTGAAGCAAAATATCTTTCACACATTCTATTCGTAGACGACCGGGTTCCGCCATAATAAAGTTTTTAAAATCATTCGAACTTAGATGTTTTAGCGCGTGGTTTTTCTAGATATCGAGGATAGAATGGAAGGAATATTACAAGGAACAAGGACTTTTAACAATTAAGATTTAAAGCTTCAACATATGAATAGTAGGCGAACTGACATATAAGACGTAGGCGAATCGACTCCAGTCGTAGACACAGACACATACATGTTCAACCTCAATCATCCCCAAAATAGCCTGCAAGCTTTACCTTTTCATGACCTGGATGACAGAGAATTTCATATTCTAGATGGATCCTGTCACTTGCAGATAGATAATTTAAAAGATTTAGATTTATATAATTTTCTACCCAACCCTGATAAATCTGATGATGCTGACCCTGATCATATATTCATTAACCCTCAATCTGATTACTATGATATTTCTAGTTTGAATAAGGTTCTAAGTAAATCAGGAGCAAAATCCTTCTCATTTCTTCATTGTAATATTAGAAGCCTGTCAAAAAATATCGTCTTGCTTGAAGATATGCTGTATTCTTTAAGTGAACAGCCTGATGTATTAGGAGTTTCTGAAACGAGGCTAAATGCAAATACCACTTTGAATACTGAGTTGATTAACTATAGCATCTACCAAGCTGATTCTCCCGCCCCAGCGGGAGGGGTTGCTCTTTATGTCAGTAAAGCTTTAACATCATTTCCTAGGTCAGATATAACTTTGGATATGCCCCTTGTGGAATCTGTTTGGGTTGAAATAGCTACTCCCAAAAACCAAAAACCCATCCTGGTTGGCTGTATATACAAACATCCAGGTGCGAATATTGATGAATTTAATGGGAAACTTGACGAAACAATGAAGCTATTTAACCCAAACAAGTGCCAATTGTATATCCTTGGTGACATGAATATAGACTTTTTTAAATGTGATATTCATCCACCTACAGAGGCTTACCTTGACATGCTATATTCCAATAATTTATTACCAATTATTACTAAACTAACACGTCTGACCTATCATTCAGCTACATTAATTAATCATATCTATACCAACAGTAAATCCAAAATTGTCTCTGGGATTGTACTGGTGGATGTCTCTGATCACCTCCCAGTTGTCTGTGTTACAAATATACCAGTTAAGAAACACAACCCTATTAAGTATTATCTAGATTACAGCAATTTTGATCAAGAATCTTACTTAGAGGATATCAATGGAGTCAACTGGAATGCTATCTATAGTAATGATCTGCATGAGACAGCTACTAAAATAACTGACCTGATTAAATCAATTGCAGATAAACATGCACCAATTAGGCAATTGTCCCAAAAAGAAACAGAAATTGTGTACTAAGCCGCGGATAACTAATGGTATTCTTAAATCAATCAAAACTAAGCATAAATTATACAAAATACATTTTCCTTCTAACAATCTTGGAAATCGTATAAGTATAAGAACCTGAATTTTTCAATTTAGCCTAAATAGGTTCTTATATAAATGGTACTTAAAGCAAATTTAGGCTACCGAGGTTCTTAAAATAGGTTCTTATATTTTCATATGAATTTCATCTGAATATACTATATATATTATAAATATCATCTCATAATACAGTATAAATCATTTATTTGCACCATAGAGCAATGCCTATAGGCAGTTCAATGCAGGTACAGCATATGTCCTTAACAAAACATAACAAAGAAAGTTTCTACCTATACACTTTTACAGCAACCCCACTTTGATAAGAACCTAGCTTAAGATTTTAGCCTAAATAGGTTCTTATGTGGAGGGGGCTTAAAATGAAAATTTTAGCCTAACAGGTGCTTAAAACCCAGGTTCTTATACGCGGGCTATTACTGTATTTTAGGCCAAGAGTATCCACCAACTTAGGTAAGACGTCCTTTAAATTCTCCGCTCCTAAAATCTGGGAGACTGTACCGCCTGGTCTCAAGTGCCTGCCATATCATAAGTTTAAGAAAGAATGGAAGTCCTGTCTTCTAACCAACCAAATCTGACCTTGCTTATATCTTCTATCACTGATATTATTTGAGATTTTATTCCTCTCTTTACTGCTGCCAATTATTTCAACATGACGGTGTCCAACAAGAAAGCTCTTGCTACTTTGGACACCGTACACAAATGAACTTAATGTCTTTTAGTTAATTATTATTTGTCAGCTACTTTATTTTCCTACCTATGAATAAAGAATTGAATTGAATTGACCGTAGGCACTATGTGAAAATGCTTTGCACTACGA